CCCCCCCCTGCCACTGCCACTGCCACTGCCACAATAGCACGGCCCTAATTGGAATGCATCTAAATAGGGACCCACATTGATGCAAGTTCAGAGGGCGGTTTCCAGAGCCGAATGTTGTGTACGTAAAGGAGTTAGAAATTTTAGGGAAAAAATTGAACAGTTGAGAATTGGATTAAAAAAAATGAATATCTTGATGTGTGAAAATTCTAGACGGCGATGATTGTAGTTTGACATATGGGACCCACCTATATCAGCAGCCTTGATTTGCCTTTTGTGTTTTGTCATTCACATCAAGCGGTTTTTACTTTTTATTCAACGTGTTAAACATTCTGATTTTGATTAAATTATATATTTTATCTATTTTCATTGGAGACTACAAAGCTAGAAGATTGTGCAAGTTGATTATTCTAAACTTGAACTAAAGAAACTCGTGTTTGAAAAGATTATAGATATAAATTGTTTCGATAGAACCCTCTCTTATATCTAAGAAAGTCATCACAATGAGAGTTATAAAGAGTTTCTACCTTCTTAGACGACCTCTAATTATCAAAATTAGATTCTCAATAGTACATTGATAATTGGGTCCTCGCACAATCTTTGAATTAGTATGATAGTTATTGATTGATGACCTATAGTTTTAGACTTAACTCGAGCTTATTTTCATATTAAAATTTCATATATATTGATTTTTCTATCGTGGTCACAATTTGACAAAAATATGCATATAACATCAGTCATTTTCTGAAAAGAACAACGTATAAAATATTAAAATGTAATTGGAAAATTACTGGCAAATTTAATACAAGGGTAAATAGTGTCTATTATATCAGTCACGTACAAACCTTACTGCACAAAACACAGAATAAGCCAATCAAGAAAGTGATGTGGCCTCCACCCTTGTGCCATTACACATTCATAAAGCCAGACCTTATTCAAGAAATCTCATAGGGAAAATATGCAGAGTAAAAACATTTACAACTGGACATGGATCATTCTATAATTCTGTCGAGAAGACTGAGGAGTGAAAAGTGGATGATACGAAGTGAAATGCTGCAGTACTTTTCTTTGTTCAAGTCTACCCCTTCATTTAGAATTCCTCAACCTAATATACATTTTGAGCATACAAATATATCTCACTGACATTTTTTGTCTTCAGCATACAACGGAACATGTATAATAATAACATGTCGATCCTCGTGTTTAATTATGTACTTTTTTTCTAAATAATCTATAGGCATCCGTAGCATTTGTGCCCGTAATTGCTTCATCGTCATCCATGTTAAAAGCATCTACTAAGCACCATTGCTTAGCATCACATCACACTACAATCAAATCTAGATCACATGAAAGGGGATACACTTCAGACAAATCATATTTTTCTGAAGTAGATTCACCATCCAAATGAGGGATATGGACACCCCAATAAGTCCCCTGAGGTATATCCCAATGGTGCAAATGATAAAGGTGAGATATACTCAATCTTGTTGGTAACCGCAGTGTGAGGTCCGATTCTTAAAACATGGATTAAGACTCTTTGTAGACACCAGTATACATGCAGCTCTTGTTCCCTAACCTATTGAGGCATATCTCGCGATTAACCTCTTTCACGATGCTTCAGGGACGGGGCGGTGAGAGACCCTTAAGGTTGGGGTTCAACCTTTTGAGATGGACACCCCAATATACATATAGCATCACCCTTACACCTATTATGAACTTATCAAGCAATTAGTTGTAGTATCATGTCATTTATGCTTAAAACAAGCTTAGTAACTGTGCTTCAAGAAATAATTTCTCAGCATTCTGCATACATTGAACTGAGACTAGATCGCCCAAAATAGTTGGGTTTGCAATTTGCATTATAAGGCTCAAGACCAAATAGAGGGAAGCCTAATGCCCTGGTATAACAATCTTCATTAGTGTGTAAACCAATACTTCACATTGAATTTGTGTGAAACTTCCGTTGAGCTCAAAAATACGTAATAAAATAGAATTTTGTGTCAAAATCATGTTTAACCATAAAAATATATATAATTGAGAAAAAACAATCAGCTTCCTGAGTACCAACACAAACATTCAATAATCAAAGTCATGCTCTTAATTGGGAAATGGACCTACGGTCAATTTACCCACGAAATACATTTAGCAAGAAAGTATGCTCAGAAACAAGAGGACTCCAAGACGATGTGCACAAGTTTCTTAAATTCGTCGTGAGGGCAACCTGCAAGTTCACATTCTGTTGGAAAACTGTAATTTAAGAGACAACGGGTAGTACACCAGTGACAACACCAATCAACCACAGCCTTCAACTTCACATCCTTGTAACACAAAAATTCTGTCAAACCAAACAAAATAAACTTTTCTAGTAAAAAAAAAAAAAAAAAAAAAAAAAAAAAAAAAAAAAAAAAAAAAAAAAAAAAAAAAAAAAAGGAATAGAAATGCATAATTACAACTAGTAAAAATAAAACTAAAAATTTCAAAGAACCATCACCGCATCTATTAGGCATCGAAATATGAACTGAAAATTAATCTTTCTAGCTGTTCTAGATGCAGATCTGCACCGGCTGTTGCTGCTAGTTAGCTTTGCAACAATTTTCGAATATAAATTTTCATAAAAACCCTCATTGGATCCAGTTAAGAAAGATACCAAAGATCTTCAAATCTTTGATTTTTATCAAGTCCTCCCTGCTGAAGATCCTCAGAAACAGAAAGGAGCTAAAAAATGAATAATTTAATTCTTTGCCCACCCACCCGCAGCATGTGTTGAGATTTATTCCTCATGTAGCATTTAATCATTGCTGACCAGTTATGTTAATAAAAATCCATACAGCTAGATGCCTTTCATTTTGGTTCTCATGTGTAAAAGCTGTATTGCCAAGAAGGCTTCTTTTTATTGTTTATAGGAAAGAGGAAAGTTTAGCTACAGACATGCAACAAAGCTGTCAAGGGGAAGGTTTAGCAACAAAAGTGCAAACCCTGTGGAAACACACATTCTACTGAATCACCATATCTAAAAGCTTAACGCGTTGATGATACAATAGTTTGATTTCATTTTTTCTTCAAAAGATGTGAGATGTAGATTTTGGGAGAATTGCAGCAAACGTCTCTAATCTTTACCACCTTCTACACTTCTGTACTCAACCTGTATTTCTTGACAAAATAATCCCTACCCCTTAATATTTTGACGCCTATAGTCCCTACTGACAATCTCTTTTGAACTACGCATGTGTAAAAAATTTGCCCTTGAGCTTAAATAAGAAGAATACACAAAATAAAAGGGACGGAAAGGAATAAAAGAAAAAGAAAATTCAAGTGTTCTTCTTCTTCATCATCTAACCACCCCCACCCCGAAGGAAAACCATCACAGCCACTACACCGCCGCAACCAACCACTGACACAGCAACACAATCACCAACCACCATCCCTCACAAAATCCACGTGTCTATCATCCAAGATGTTTAGTTGGGTTCCTACTTTAGGGAAATGGATGTAATTCAACATACGGTTTGTTTTACTTCTTCTTTATCATTATTGAACGTCTATAAGGCTTGTCAGGGAATTAGATATGCTGAAATCTGTTAGCAATTTCTTTTCCACTCTTTGTCATTGAAAGTTATGATATTTTGAAAATAAGAATCTGTAAATTCATCTGCTAGCCACATTAGAGTTTACAGAAATAAACTCATTTGCCAGAAACCAATCATTTTCATTCCACCTACACTAGCCAACCACCATAAACTAAAGGTGCGGCTGCCAGGGTCCTCCATTCTGCCTGTAAGGTTCACAATTTCTTTGATGTCTAGGTCCAGAACTTTCAAATCTGAATTCATACCAATAGCCAAAATTGATTTCATAATGATTTTTAGTTAGGAGTTAGTTTTTTTTTTTGTTGGGGGGGGGGGGGGGGGG